TTTCTTGTCGCCAGATCATTTCATAGTAGCACATCCTTGGATATTCAGCAAAAATAAAAATTTAGAGATTTAAGTTTCTAAAAAAATTCTGTATCACGTGGAGCTGTTCATTTTCTATCAGCTGTCTGAAAGGACAAGAGAAAATGAATACTACTTAAAAAAATTACAGTGAAAACTGTAAGAAGTATTAAATGATTGAGATTTCTTTTTTTTTTTTAGTTTGGAATTCTTTTTTAGTTTTGTTTTTGTTCTTTTTTTTTTTTAAATTTTTAATGTGGTGCTCTCTCTTTTTTTAAGTCTAATTTGGGGGTCTGGGGCCTTTTAAACCTGCAGCACATTGGGGTTTACAAGCCTGTCTTCCTGAATACCAGCCTAATACACACAGGTGTTGCCTGATCATGCAAGTCAGACGTGCTGCTGTCTCAGGCCCAAGGAGCTGACGTCCAGGGAAGGTGGGCAACTGGCCAGTCACAAGCCAGTGAGCAGTAGAGCTGGGTGCAGGGCACTGAGACCACACTTCCTTTCACCAGTCCCAACTGCCCCTCACCAGAACTCTGTAGATAACTGACACTCTTTTTCTGATGCTTGTGCATATTGTAGGTTAATTTTGAACATGTAGTAAATTTAAAATTCTATATCCACTTTTTATATGAGCTTCTTAAAAAGTAGGTGATTATTTACATAACTAGTGTTCTATCGAAGGCATCTGTTGACTTGTCTTCAGAGTGAGAAGAGTATTCTTTTCCCCTCCCTCCCTCCCCTCCTTCCATTCTGTTCCTCCCTTCCTTCCTCTGTATCTCCTGTCCCCACTTCCGTTCTCCTTGTCCCCATAGGCAGTCATTCTCTTCAGTATTTTTGTTTGTATGCTCTCTACATCATAGGCATTTTCTGCTTTGTATCCAAGAATTTTAGTGAGTATAAATGGCACAGTGTTACCAGTCTTATTCCGTTTCTTATTTTTATCACTAAGCATATGTTTTTAGACCTAGTCATGTCATTTTGGAAGCACATACCTAATAGTTTGCTTTTAATCATGGTAACATTCCATGGTGGCCAGTGCTCCATTGTACCTATCCATTCTCCAGTTGGATGCCCCAGTGGCCTCCAGCTCTCACCATCACTAAAAACTGCTTCAATACATACTCATGAACATCACCTATATGATGATGAATGAGAGCTTAAGGAGAGAATTTCTTGAGGATATAATTCCCTGCAGAAGAATTCTGGGGTCACGGTATATAGTGTAACTATTTTATTGTCCTGAATTATTTACCAGAATTGCTATACCAGTCTGCAGTCCCACCCGTGATCTGAGAGGTTTTTACCTCTCTACATCCCAGTGACATTGGAGATTTTGTGTTTTTCTAATTTTTGCCAGTATTCTTTTTGTAAGAGATTGAGTCTTTTCATTGAAATGAATAGCTTCCTGATTTCAATGGCAAAATGATAGCTCTATTGAGAGACATATAATTGTTCAGTATATTTTATTTATCTGAATTGTAAATATTATCCATAAGATGGGCTTCCAGTTGCTCTGATGGTGAGAAAACAGTTTGAAGGTCATTAATGAGATGTGAGTAGGTCTCCCCTGACCCAACACCTCACTCAGTCCTATCCCTGTTTTCTACATTATGCTCCTTCTGGTGTATCAAAGCCTGATATAAAACTGACACCCTGCTCGGTGCCAATGAAGTTATTGAACTCTATTCTAATTATAGTAATTCTCACAGGTCATAGGAGTTTGTTTTCAACTCTTCTGTGCACCTAACTAGCACATGAACTTGGTCATGTAGGACATCTTTGTACATCTATCATCCAATGCCACACTGCTAATCCAGCTGAATTATTGGTTAATTGTTTCATGAATGTTAAAAGATAGTCATTTATATCTTTAATATTTCCATTTTATGTCACTGCAGCAATAGCTTCTGGTTCTGAAAAATTTTTAGATTAAAACTATCCTCCCCGTGTTCTAAGATGTAAAACGTTGGCATTTTAGCACAGCTTTGATTTAAGGGCTGGATCAGTTTCAAAACTGCTTCCTGAAAAAAAACCCTGGCTTTGCCTGAAAATGCTTGTGATCTCACCACAATACTAAGGTGGGGTAACCTTCCAGTCTTGTAAGAATACTGGTCAGGATCCTTCATTTTCTCAGTGAATTGGTATCTCTCACCACCTGTTCGGCTAGCTTTCAAGTGTGTCCACACTCTTTTAGCAGTGTAGATAAAATACAACTCCAGCTTCTGGCTCTAAGAAAACACTAACCTGGAACAGATAGACTATGCTGATCGAAAAGCTGTATTGAGGAAAGTTGTATGTAAAGAAGATAATTTGAGGAAAACATTTTTTCAGGTCTGTGAAGTCATTTGTGATTCTAGTCGTCCTATGAAAAAGCTGTCCTGTTACCTTGTCTGTAATTGAAGGAAGTAAACTAAATAATGTCCAAGTCCTTGAAGTTCTGTGGGAACAATACTATACCAGTTAGTCTCTGTGGGAAGAACCAGCTATGTACCAAGTGAACCTGGGGGACGCAGGACTTCCCTTGTTTCCTCAGGAATTGTCTCCATGACTTGAAGACTCGCATGTCTATAAAGTAACTAGGGCTTTCGCTTCCTTCTCATGCCCAGGTCAGCTGGTTCCCAGTTGCACACATTTATTCTTTTCCATTAGCCTCAGGATATGATTTTGCTTCCTCTCCTCCTCTAAAGCTTCCCCCGCATCCATACTTTTTTTTATGGTTCCCATATCCTTCGGTAATGGTGGCAGAGAGGGCTGTGTAACTTCTACACCAGTACCTGACAACAAATCTTGGTCAGTTTAAAAGTTGTATTGCTGATCCCAATGGGAACCGGAATTAAGGAAATCACTCAGTTTCTTCATAACTGAAGCATAATGAGAGCCACAGAATGCCCATGAAGAATGGGTTAATGTCCAAAAAGTCTCTGGCAGAGGGCTTGGCACACAATAGGGGCTGAAAATCAGTACACCGTTAGAGGGAGTGGAGCCACTCAACTGCGATATGAAACTTTAGGAGTTTAATCCTATAGTAAGAATATTCCCAAATGTCTTCACTTTTGTCAAAGCCCACGTGAGCAGCTAGTCTGCTGCTGCCGTCATTACATCCAAGAAGAAATATTTTTCTTACTTTAGTGTAGGTTTGCTTCCTGGGATGCAGTGGGAAAATACTGCAGAAGTTCATTCTGGGAAACAAGGAGGGCCTCTTTCGTGAGGCTCGTGGTGTGGCTTTGGTGCCATTCCCACCGTGCATGTCCAGTCTCAGTGCTGTGATAAGCAGATACAACCTGGAATGAATAGTATACATGACTTGAAGTGCTTGTTTTTCCACATGTATTTCTCTTCTCTGAAAACAGATAAGTGAATGAAGTATCATTTTATTGTAAATTACTATTTGCTGCTAATAAGCTAGTTAAAATATTTTTTACTTCCTCGAACATTCTTTTTGTTCAAGCATATATTCCAAACTAGAAATTAATGTTAAAAGCGTATGAGTGTAAGCAAAATAAAAGCTTGCCTTTTTAATTAGAGCAAATAGGCAACTGCTACTCAGAGCTCCTAAAGTCATGCAATCTCACTGTAATGATAAAAGATCTTCTCCAGCAATCGTCATTCAGTGGCGTTTTAGACAACCTTAATTTTGTAAAGGGTCAGTGTAATGTTAAAGGTTTCAATATGCCTCTGGGTGTTCATGCACGAATATCTGACTTTCTTTTGAGAAAAAACAAAATCTGACTTAGCTTGGAATTCCAAGTTGCAATGAGGAAAAAAATCTCCTTTAACCTGCTCTTATTATGTTAAGGCTACGACTCATCTCCAAACAAACGTATGATTGAGGTGATGTTTTGGAATAACATCCTGTGTTTTGGTGGCGCATCATTCTTCAGTGACATTCTGAGGTTGCATTGTATTAGCACATGATACTTTCCCCAGTTAATTGATATCCCAGGTTTGTCCAGGGGAAAATCTACAGCTCCCCCAAACATGCTTGACAAGTTATTATATTTACTTTAGTCAAAGCCCGTGTGTGCAGTATCCCTCTTGGAGGTGGTCTATTATTGGAGTCCCATATGCTTTTTGTTTGGGAAGAAAGCAGTCACTGTGTCATACTGTTACATGGAGTATTCTTTTTCAGGGATGTTGTTCCCTTGGGGACCATATCGGGCCAGAGTTCCTTAGTCTAATAAGACCTTTGTACCTCTTATTGTATAAGAGTTCTGGGAGGGAAGCAAGAGTTAAACAGAAAATGTAATTCAAGCAACCATATTAGGCCACATGTGGGAAAACATGACTCTTAGTATTGGATTAAGAAAAGGTATTTGTTGTAAAAAGGACTGTGATGCCAAAACATTCAAGGTATTTTCAGGGTAAATGAAGCCTATTGTGGCCGGGGAACTCGTAACATTTTAGCATTTAGCTTAGCTTCTGAATATGAATGATCTAAACATGCACCACACGGAGTTGTCTATTCATAGATTTTATATTTAAAAAACCATGCTATTAATCATAGAAGTCCTATATGGTGATATCTAATCTAAGATTTTCTTGTGTGAGTGTTCCCATCAGTAAAGTGATGTTTAATCCATATAAAGATAATGATTCTAGCAGTATTAGATACATACTCATCACTCAGTAATACAAAAATACACCTGTAGGAATTAGTCACTTTAATTGTTATACTTTACCAATTGATGGTAGATACATGGACTATGGTTGATAAAGGTAGAATTTTAAAAAGAATTTTGCACACCAAACATTGAAACCCTTTCTTTCAGATTCTGTGATTGTGTCTAATGAGCACAATTTTATTGTAATTTTTACATGTAACTTTCAGATACAGAAATCATAAAATAAACAATTGAAATACTTCACTATTTTGACAAATTATGATAATATAAAATCTGTTTTCTGAAATGTGAACATTTTACAGTAAATTTTATGATATAATAGTGTTTTGAGACTGTCTTTTCATTTTTTTCTAACAGCAAATGGTGTCCCAGCAACGCATTCTAATTCATGAAGATTCCATGAACCTGCTAAGTCTTTATACCTCTCCCTCTTTGCCCAACATTACCTTGGGACTTCCAGCAGTGCCAACGCAACTCAACGTGAGTCATTACACAGCGACCTGAGGGATAATGTCAGAGGGAAACTCTTCTTGCATTTCTCGTGTATTCAGACTTCAGGGAAACTTGGTAGAGTTCGCTTCTCCTAGAATTCACACACTTCACTCTGAGTTGTGCAGAGACGTTCAGTTTGATTTCTAATTAAAGAATTACACTGGTTCCACAGTATCTAATATATATAAAAATAATGACTAACATTTATATAATGTTTTATAGGTTTTAGAAAAGAAAGCACCTCCAAATCTATTACCTTAGTACCTCCGCACATCCGTCCTATGAAACAGAGATTACAGGCCACATTTTTACTGAAGAAGTAGCTGAGACTTGGAATACTTAAAAGCCCAAGGTCACAGAGCCATTGAGTAGCAGTCCTAAGACTCAACCCAGGCCAGTATTGAGAAGCATAGCTTCCAAAGCAAAGCAGCATATGTTTATAGAATTTATTTTGTGAATGACTTTATTTTCGGAATTTAAGTTATGGACTCTGCGGTACTCAGGAATATGTATCTGGAAAACCTCTCTAAGAGCAATATTAAATTCTTCCCAGGAGATTCAGAGTGAATCAATTACTTTAAAAGTCCTGACATCTGAAATAGGATCTCTGGGAGGTAATTGTCCTACTAGCAGAAGATAGCAATAGTTATTTTACACATATTCCCCAAAATAATATAAATTTTAGCCATTGTAAAAGATTTGTACTCTTTCCCTGGAAAAATTCATCTGTGAAATGTGAGTAAATTAACTTGTACTTATCGGAAGTCTTGTGATACATTGGGTTTAAAGAGAAATTTATTTCAACCCTTGGCACCAATTTTGTCAGACTTTAGCAGTCAAATTCACATCTTTTATAATATGCCCACACCAGGAAATTTTTTAAAAGTTGACCATTTTGTGCCTCATTTGTTTTCAGAATTTAAGCCCTCTATATGGTGGGCTAATGTATGTACAAGCACACCTGTACTCACATTTTAAAATTATAAATTTTGTAATTGAGTTCAATCTATATTATGCAATCAGTCTAAAAGATATCTGGTTATATTTGGTATTTTTTATAGAGTGGAATGTTATCTTACATGATACAGTAATCTTATACCAGTGAGGAAAAAGCGGGATTTGCATGTTGTTTTATATCCGGAATTGAAGATGAAAGGCTTAAATAAACTGATTTCAGTTACCCCCTTGAAATGTCACGTGAAGCATTTGTAAATGGTTGGTTCTCGTGAAAAGAAAAAAAGGAATTAGGGATGAAGCTGAACATAAATACTCATGGATGATGTTTTCACATTTCCACTTACTAAAAATTAGTTTTTCTTCTATTTTTCTATTTCCTATTCTTCTGATGATAAGCAAATAGTGACACAAAAGCTTCTTATGACACATGAATAAACATTTTATTTCCACCCTTTTTTGCTGTTCTAAGTCATTCCTACCAGCTAACACAAATATACACCACTTTTAATGTGGTCAGAGAGAATTTTTTCCCAAAGGACCAAGTACTAATGCCAGACCATTTAATGTTTCAATGGTAATACAATTTGGTACCGTTGGATGAATAAACCAATGTGGTTTGGACTGAAGTTTCATTTTTCTTTGCTTCCATTTTGGTGTGGATGAGGCCATCACAATTAATTTTTCAAGCTTAGCATTGCTTTGGCAAAGGGATCTCTAATATTCCATTTCCCCACTGAATAGTGGGAAATTTTTTAGGAAAAGAAGCCAGGAGAAGGAATCACTTCTAGATTAAACATTGCGTTGACTTGCCATGTGACTAAAACAAACCATTTACCTCTTTGTCCTTCAATTTCTCCATCACTGAAAATTGCTTTGCTTCCCTGGTGCACAGCAATTTTGAAAGATGAAACATGAGTTTTGAAAAGAAGCCACATAATTTTGAGGTATTAGACTTCTGCTTTTGTGATACCAAAATTACCTCCATTCATTAAATTTTTTGAATAGGATAATTCATTATTACTATTGATGATATAATTATTATTACCTTATTACTGTGTTATCATACATTTCAAGTTCTTAATAGCATTTTTATTTGATCTAATTTCACTTGTAGTTTATGTTATTAAACAAAAGTATCTGAAGTGTCATTTTCAATATTTAGAGATTTGGGGATCTGTTGTGAATTAATACAAAATACATGTTTAAGTCAAAGTCCTGCATATTTTATATAACCTTTCATTGGGTTGGCTGAAGAATTTTATTTTAAAAATTAAATATTGGAACCCTATAGCTCTGTGAGCTTATTAGAGGAATTGCTCCTTTTGCTTGAAACTCCAGAGCTACAGACAGTTTTATCTCCAGCTTCTTCACTGCTACGATAGAGTCATTAGTTTAGTGATTTGAATCCATTTTACATTGCCAGTATACCTTTTTACTTCAACAGTATGCTAAAACATTTTTTAAATAAACTTCCCAGTTATTAAGCCTAAAATTAGCATTATTTTCAATGTGGAAAGGAAATCTTTATGTTCAGTACAACGGTGTTCAATACTAACTTATCTCCAATAGTTCAACTCTATTTTTATTTCTCATCCATTAATTTGGTTGGTTTGAAAAGACACACTGTTGGGCAAAAGAGGTGGAGGCGATTAAGAGGTACAAACTTCCAGCGGTAAAATAAGTAAGTCACAGGGATGAAAAATACAGCATAGGGGAATATAGTCAGTGAGATTGTAATCAGTTCGTCTGGCGACAGATGGTGACAGCCCTCATCAGGGTGAGCACATCTGGTATATACAGATGTTGAATCACTGTGTTGTACACCTGAAACGCGGGTAATATTGTATGTCACCTACACTTCAATTAAAAGAAAAAACAAACCAGAAGGAAAAAAAAAAAAAAAAAAGACATGCCGTTATACATTTTCCCTACTCAGCTATCAGTTGGATGGAGTTTTCTTTTGGGTGGAGGGAGGGAGAATTACGGAATAAGAAACTCCGCTAATGCTGTACAGACCTAGTGGGTGATAGAGGATTACCATCCTGTTACTTCTTGACACAGGCTTCGAATTCACTCAAAGAAAAACAGAAGTGTGAGACCCAGACGCTCCGACAAGGCGTCCCTCTGCCTGGACAGTACGCTGGCAGCATCCCAGCGACTTCAAGCCATCCCCACGTTGCTTTAGAGGGAAAGCCCAATAGCAGCCACCAAGCACTCCTGCAGCATCTCTTATTGAAAGAACAAATGCGACAGCAGAAGCTTCTCGTGGCTGGTAAATAATCATGACACCATTCGCGGATCATTTTAGGGCTTGATTTATCTGTGATCTGGTGTAAGGTCTTTTTAGCTCAAGACCCTCCTAAAGATTGAAAGTGTCACACAAGGGTGTCCCTGAGACTTGGTCTTGTGGGAAAGGCTACTTTTCCTGTTTATTCCTCTAGACATATGGTCGGGGGAAACACCGCACCTTATTTAACCTTCATACATACTGAGGCGAATGACTGGTGAGTCACCAGTCAGGTGCTTACCTGTCTCATGTTCTGGCACTTCTCCCTCCATCCCCTACAGCCTAGCTTTCTTCTGATGTGTGCCCAGTAGAATCACTAGTTTTCATCACATTTATCTCCTATATCTATTTTCTATGGGTGTTTTTGTTTTGTTTTGTCTATTCCTAAGCAAAATTGTGCATATGTGTACATGTATATATATATATATATTTTTTTTTTTCAGGTGGAGTTCCCTTACATCCTCAGTCTCCGTTGGCAACAAAGGAGAGAATTTCCCCTGGCATTAGAGGTACCCACAAATTACCCCGTCACAGGCCCCTGAATCGAACCCAGTCTGCACCTCTGCCTCAGAGCACGTTGGCTCAGCTGGTCATTCAGCAGCAACACCAGCAGTTCTTGGAGAAGCAGAAGCAATACCAGCAGCAGATCCACATGAACAAAGTAAGCCCCCAAGTCAAAGTCAGGAGGTCACAACCACCAGTGGGGAAAGTGGGGTTCCCTTCTCTGGTCCGGGCACACAAAAGGAAAATGTCGGTATCTTTGCATCATCGTCGACAGGAGATTGCCATCCTAGCCCTGGGGACAGCCTCACAATATCAGTATGTTCACCCTCATTACATTCACAGCTTGTTTGTAGCAACACTGAGATAACTGATTGGTGAGGGCTTCTATGATTGAGGACCTATTTGAATTCAGAAGCACATCCAGGCACATGAGTGCAGAGCCCCATTTTTTTGGTTTCATAGAATAGGCTTGGGGCAGAGTTGAAGATGGTGGATTGACAACTCAAAAAGTTCCCACAGGTGCAGGCAGATACAACAAGGTGAGCCCACAAACTATTTCTCAGCAACTTGTATGTATCTGTGTTCTATTTATTTTTTAGCATGCCCCATTTTAGTCCAAACTGCGTTTGAAGCAACTTCTCAGAAATGTGTGGTAATTTTCTGGCAGCCTTATTGTGGCCAAGTGGGAAGCTGATGTCCGTATCGCACCACATCCTTAGGCGCTCTTCTGCTGAGGCAACCACAAAGAAACAGTGATTACAATATAACAATGTCAGGCAGGCCAGGCCCATAAAACATCTTCCTTGAATTCATAAGCAAACTCGTCTACTCAGTTTTGACACTACCCTCCTCTATGACAGGTTTACAAAGCCAAGTCTTCTCATTCCTGGGCATGTTATTGGCATTATCATCGTCCCAGCTAGCATGAGTCTATGAATAGCATGGTTCATATCCTATTCTTTGTTACTGTATCATCTACAAAATCTTCAGAGGTATGATTATTAAGAAATGCCGTTCTGTTTACTAAAGGTAGCTAAAAATTGGCTTACTGTTGAAGAGCTTTATTGCATCGTGACAGAAACAAAGCAATGCCTTGTGGGTAAAGGCCTAATCACCCTTCTAATAGCAGTAGGAGAAAGGGGTTCTTCATCAGATGCTCACTTTACTGCAGGCAGGGCAAGAGGTTTTCTCTTCTCACAGGGCAGAGCCAGGAAGGGAGCTCGGGTTGAAGACCATACAACTGAACAGCCCAGCCCTTTGCTGCCTTCAAAGATGATGTGGGGGTGGGGGGGAGGGAAATGGGCGCTGGCGATGGATGGCCATGGCCACTGCCTTTCATGCTGTCTCTTACTACACTGCACATGGCAGTCCACGATACCACATGCTCTTTATATATCATCAGGTTGATGCTGTTATTGCTACAACATTTCTCTAAGTTTATCAAATTATTTTGTACCAAGGCAGTCTCCCTGGAGGAGACCAACTTCCTTCTTGTAAGAGTGGCCTGGTACTCATTGACCTGAATGTGACTCTGTGTATGTTTGCTCTATTGTGGTAGAGTTCGGCTTGTTTGTTTTGTGGTCTCTCAGCACTACTTAAAACTACAACGTATTTACTACATAAATTTACTACATAAATTGTCTGGTGACTAATGCGAAAAATTTATGAAGGAAGAAAATTGGAAATCCTACCTTTTGCCTCATACTATTTTGTTTTGTTTTGTTTTTGGGGTTTTGTTCTTGTTTCTTGTTTGTATGTTTTGTTTTAAAGAGAGAGAGAGAGAGAGAGAGAGAGCAAGGGAGCATGAGCAGGGGAAGGGCAGAGGAAGAGGGAGAAAGAGAGAATATTAAGCAGGCTCCATGCCTAATGCAGACCCCAGTGCAGGACTCAAGCTCATAGTCCTGAGATCATGACCTGTGCTGAAAGCGAGAGTCTGATGCTGAACTGAATGAGCCACCCACCCACCCCATTGCCTCATAATATTTTGATCTGGAATTAAGTTCATTAGATTCCTAGGAATACTTTAAAGAATATTTTGGAATACATTATTTCAGACTCTGTGGTATGCTGATAACAGAATCTTTATATTTTAGTATCACACTTGAGATTTTGACAAGCGGATGCTAACCTCAGTCACATGGAAGAAACCAAGATGAAAAGCAGGCATTTGCATTGAGCAATGAGAAAAGCAAATCTTATCAGAGACCTTCTCCCATGTGGAGCTGATTCCTTGGAATCTGTTAAGAATTCTTCCCCAAATTAGAAACAAACCTATACTTTCAGGTACATGTTTGTACAGTGGTTTGATTATTAAATCTTGTCTTAATTAGGCAAAATGAAGTCCAGAAAACTTCAAAGTACAAAGCTGATCTTTATATATTAACCCCTCTCAGCTTGGGTGTTTAGATTACTCAAGCAGGTCTCTTGTTGGCTGTTCTCCAAGTATGTATTCCATATGTTCGGTCCAATGGCATATGCACATTGGGTAGTCCCCAGATTTTGAAACTATTTCACCTGCCCTCAATTGTCTAAGGGAACAGAGAAGAATCTTATTAAAGAAAATATTGAATTTCTGTCCCTATTCTGAAGTATTCACAATAGAATTATCAAGAAATGAATTGTTTCTGCTCTCCCTTCCCTGTGAGGTGATGAAAACATTTATTTCACATTATGTGAGGGCCAAAACTTAGATGCCAAAACCAAAGAGTTTCTGTATGATCATATATTTATGTACACTCTAACCATTTTGAGTGACCATTAATGAGAAATAACCACAGAAACTTTAATTTATATCATTTTTTTCCTGGTATAACACATGAATCTGTATTGAGTGATGTCAGTTTAGAGCCAAATAATTGGCATCATAAAAACATGGTCCCTGCTCTTGAGCAACTTCCTACAGCAGGAAATACATGCTCACATAAAGACGTAGGTGCGCAGATAACGTATTTGAAAATGTCCTTTCCGTTTGCTCCCTCAACTTTTTTTATGGTTCTTTTTTTAAGATTTGGAGAAGCAAAAAATACAATGACAATGAAGAAAAAACTAAGTAGATTTATCCCTAAACCTGTATCCTATGAAATATGATTGTCCTTCCTGCTATGAAATTTTTAATGATATAATGGAATTGCTAATAATCCTTAGAAGAATTAAAAGCAAAGCTGTACTTTTCAGAGCAGTGTTTACACAGTAATTAACTTACTAAATTTTGAAAACTTTCTAATATCTTGCTATTGTTTGAGTGCATTTATGAAAGCAGTCATTCCTGCCTGTTGTAACTCTACAACATAAATATTATTAATCATACTAAATAACTTACCTACCCCTTGCTTATTACTTTAATGACATTTACAGTGGAAATTTGTGTGTCATAATATAGTTATTTGTCTCATGCAGTTAAGATGTAAGTATTTAATAGTTTAGCAGAAATATGCCTGGAATGGATTTACATAGTATTTGCATTGTTATAGAAGCTAGAAAGGTGAGTGGAAAACCCATCAGAATGATTTGTCTCTCTGTTCCATCGGTTTGAATACTCAGTTTTCAAGGAAAGTATTTTGAGAAGTTTAGCCATAAGAAAGTCATGGCTTGCACGTTTCTTTGGGTTGTTTTTTTTTTTTTTTTGAGATATTTAAAATGAGAAATGCATTTAACAATTTCTGTTACTATCGTATGGTATATTCTTATAATGACGACTTGTGAGTTTTTTCAAAAAACCAAGAGTTTCTTTATACTAGCATCAAAAGAAGACTGTTGTTTTTCCCGGTTATCTTTCATTTTTTTATTGGAAGATTAAAAAGCTTTCTAAGAGGAATCTTTCCCATAGATACAAAATGGCAAACAAAAAAGTAAGAGAGTATTGGTAATTTTCTTCTGGGCTCATTCTAAGTTTAAATATTGCAACAGAATTTCTGGTAAAATAAGACTGTGATCAATGAAAGTAAAACACTCTGAAGTTACTTGACCATTTTTATGATTTTTGAAGTATTCCAAGCACTACCTAATTAATAGAAGGACAAATCTCTAGTTGTATCACTATTGGAATGATATACAGAAATTTTCCTCAGTGTCTTCATGCATTTTTGTTGTGAGATAATTTGGCATAGACTTCTGCCCCCTACCCAATGAAAACCTTCTTTAAGTCATTTCTATTATAGTATTAACAGAATAGCATTGATGCACACTAAATTTCTACTTTAACTAGAATTTTTCTAGTATCCATATTTTTGGTACTCATTCTATCAAACCCATGTGAGCAGAAATTTCAAGAAACTTCTTCATTCAGGACTTATTTGAATGAAATACTGATTTATTATACATTTATCCATTTAGCAACTCATTGAATTCTTGCTTTGTGCCAGATGCTATTTTAGGCACCAAGAGAATAATAACATTCATTGTCCTCCTGGAGCTTACAGTGTGGGGAGCAGAGGAATGAAATATTCAGTAAACAGAGTAAACAGTAATACAGTATGTTAAATACTTGGATAGGGGACATGAGGAAGAAAATTGTTTCTTTGAGGAAGTAAGATGAGACTTATTTAGTTACCTCTCTGAGTTATCTTGTCCTTTTTATATCCTCCTTTCTTGCTCCCTCCCTTCCTCCTCCTCTCTTTCTCTCTTTCCCTCTTTCTTTCTTTCTTTCTCCTTCTTTCTTTCTTTCTTTCTCTTTTTCTTTCTTTCTTTCTTTCTCTCTTGGTAATATGCTCTGTGATAAATATCTTATGCATTCCTTTGACTGGATATCAGCCAACACCTTTTTTAAAAACCCACATAAATTATGAGATGATATCTTCTATATGTCAAGGTTCACTGTAGATATAAGTATTTATTATATATTTATTACTGTGATACTTAGGCATTTTGACATGAGTGCTATTTTATCATAATAAAAATATATCTAAGACGAGCTGAGTAAAGGAGAGGCCAAGCAGATGTCCTGTGTTGCCCTTATTAAAGCAGGTAGATATTATGTCTGACAAGGAAGGCATGAATCTAATTCTCCTCAAGTGCTGGAATGGAACAAATGGGGAGTTTTCATTCGTTTTTGGAAGAGAATTTGATCTTTTATTTGAGTAGTATCTCTTTTATTCTTTTTCTTGAGATAATTTTCTAACATCGGTGTTATATATTCTTTATGACCCCTCATGATTCATA